AATAATCTTCTTCTTCTTTTTTTTTTTTTTTTTTAGGATTTTATTCATTTACTTGACAGACAGAGATCACAAGTAGGCAGAGAGGCAGGCAGAGAGAGAGAGAGGAAGGGGAAGCTGGCTCCCTGCTGAGCAGAGGGCCTGATGTGGGACTCATCCCAGGACCCTGAGATCATGACCTGAGCCGAAGGCAGAGGCTTTAACCCACTGAGCCACCCAGGTGCCCCCTCTTTTCTTTTATTTTTTAAGATTTTATTTATTTTTTTGAGAGAGAGAGAGCAGAGCTAGAGAGAGAGAGAGCACAAGCAGGGGGAAGAGAGAAAAAGAGCACAAAAGGGGTAGGGCCAGGCTGAGGGAGAAGCAGACTGCCCGAAGAGCAGGGAGCTGGATGCTGGGCTCGATACCAGGATCCTGGGATCATGACCTGAGCCAAAGGCAGGGATTTAACTGACTGAGCCACCCAGGTGTCCAACGGCTGGAACATTCTTGCCCAGATCCTTGCAAGGTAGCTTCTTGTCAATGCTCAGGTTTCTGCTCCACGTCTCCTCCTCAGAAAGGTCTCCCTGATGAAAGGCCAGTCCCCCAGCAGTCACTCTGCAGCCCACTGCCTGTCTTTGTTTCCTTCACAGCTGAAACTGTATCACCAGCTGAAACTGTCTTCTGTACTTATTCACTTGTTTACTATGTGTCATTCCCACCAGAATCTAAACATTTAGCGTGTCTGATCTACTGCATTTTGTTCCTTGCTTCATCTCAGCACTTAAATGTGTGCTCTACATCACAGAGGCTCAATAAATATCCCTTGGCTAAAATGAAGGAATCCTTTTATTGGACCATAAATCCCTGGCAGTCTGGAACCAGTAATTATTCATCTTTGTATCACAAGTTCTGAACCCAATGTCTATCCCAGTATCTATCTATAGATACTGAAAGAAAGAGGGGCGCCTGGGTGGCTCAGTGGGTTAAGCCGCTGCCTTCGGCTCAGGTCATGATCTCAGAGTCCTGGGATCGAGCCCCGCATCGGGCTCTCTGCTCGGCAGGGAGCCTGCTTCCTCCTCTCTCTGCCTGCCTCTCTGCCTACTTGTGATCTCTCTGTCAAATAAATAAATAAAATCTTTAAAAAAAAAAAATTTAAAAAAAAAAAAGAAGAAGCAGGGCGGGGGAAGGAAAAAGAAGGGGAGGGAGAAAGAGGGACAGAAAGACAGGAAGGGAAGTTGGAAACACAGCCATAGCACACCATTGAATTTTTCCGATTTGTGGATTTTAGAGATATAGTCTTACCAATATTCAAAAATTGAATCCCACATCAGATTGATTTAATCTGTTGTCATTACTGGAAAATAACCACTTAAAATCAAGACTGTTTAAAATAGTCAGAATGTGTGGATGCTCTTACTATATCTGCCATAATTTCACAAACATTTTTCTATGGGCCAACCAGTCTGCTAGAAACATCTGTGAACGTGTCTAAAATGTAACATCTCCTAAGATCAGGGATGTAGGTAAGGGAGTAGAAAAAGAGAAGTTGTCCCAGGAGGAAACAGAAAGGTAGAAATGCAAATCCTGCTCCAAACAGCCTGCGCCTCCCGCAGGAAAGAAGCCAAGAAACGTTTACATCTATCCCAACTCTGCTCACAGCAGAGGAAGGTTCAACACTTCCATGCACACTTCAGCCCATCCTAGACTCTGGGTAGAGCCCCGGGAAACTTCTCCCTCCTATCCCTGTCCTACATGGCCTGGGTGAGCTGCTGCTGCTCATTCCAGCACCCAGGAGTCTCATCAGAACACCACACAGTCTGGGGACCAACCTTCCCCCTAACTTTGCCCTTCACATAAAAGTTCCAGTCCCATGGAAGGGAATTCTGGCAAAGATCAAGAATAATGTGGCCTTTAATATTCAAATGCTTCCCTCAAATTCACTTGAATGTACCTTCTTTTTGCCCTTTAAAATCACCAGGTGGATTCTATACTAATCCCTGAAAAGGAACTTCACCGGGCTCCGCTCTTCATACACTATGTCAGCTTGAAGCAGGTCCCCGTTAGCACAATGATAAACGGTCTTGGGAAGGATCAGTTCAGTGGGAGGATGAACACATGCTATTTGATTCTCTTGAAGACAACCGACATAGTAGTCAAGGCCATGATGTAGCTTTAGACCATGATCAGGATGGGAGAGAGAGATGTAGCATTGGCCTCCCCTGGGAACTCTGCCCACTGGCTCAGAATTGGAGCTACCCGTCAACCTTTTTTAGGAAGAGAGCCACAGGTTATACCCATGTAACCTTCCAAGGACAGTATATGATTTTTTTAAGATTTTGGTGAGGAATTGCTCAGGAATTACTTGTCCTTCCAAGGACAGCATATAATTCAGTAATTAACTGTAGGAGCTGAGAATCAGACAGACCTCAGCTCATGTCGCTAGCTGTGTGACTTTTAGAGAAAGTACTTAAGCTTGCTAAGGTCCAGTGTTCTTATCTTCAAAATGGGAATAAAACCTTTCCTTCATGCTACAATGCTGCTTCAGTAAGATTATTCACCTAAAGTGCCCAGCATAATACCTCACGTACAGTAAATAGTAAATGTCAACTGCCATAATTATCACTACTGTCACCTTGCCATTTATCTACTTTGGTGTAACCCTTGTATCTTACTCACTTTTTACACCCAGTGCAAAGCAAAGGGTCCAGCATACTGTGGATACTTAAAAGATAATTTTTATTTCTTTAACATTTGTTTATTATTTATTTGAGAGAGAGAACATGGGAGGGAAAGGCAGAGGGAGAAGGAGAGAGAGAGAGAGTCGGAAGCAGACTCCTGTGCTGAGCCCCCATGGGACCAATCTCATGACCCTGAGACCACAACCTGAGCCAAGAGTCCAACGCTTAACTGACTGTGCCACCCAGGCACCCCTTAAAAGGCAATTTTTTAAAGAATCAGTGCAATAGGCAGAATGATGTTTCCCCCAAAGACTGTCCATGCCCTAATCCTTGGAACTTGTGAAAATATTACCTTATGTGACAAAAGGACTTAGCAGATGTGAGTAAGTGAAGAATGTTGACATGGTGAGATTACTCTAGATTATCTGAATGGTCCCAATGTAATCACAGGGATCCTTATAGGAGGGAGACAGGGAAGCCAGAGGCAGAGAAGGGGATGTGAGGATGAAAGCAAAGGTCAGGGTGCTGTAGCCGTGAGCCACGGAACATGGGCAGCCTCCAGAAGCTGGAAAGGGCCAGGAGAGGATTCTCCCCTAAAACCTCCAGAGGAATGCTGCCTTGCTTATACCCTGATTTTAGCCCCATGAAGCCAATTCTGAAGTCTGACCTACAGAACCATACAGTAATAACTTTGATTGTTCTAAGCTCCATCCAGTTTAAGGGAATCTGTGACAGCAGCAACAGGAAGCCCCTACAATCAGTGTCCCAGACGCTTGCTCAGTGCCAGGTGCTCTGTACCTTTCAAATAGGCTCACATTAAGGCTCACAATAGGCCAGCATGGAAGTTCCACTCTTGCCCCAATTTTATAGACGGAGAAACAGAAGCAATAGGACTGACCCACACTGTGTGCAAAGAAGAAAATCTTTACAGAAAAAAACCTTAATAAAAATCCTTACTTATTTTCCTGCAAGGAACAAAGCCCAAGGCTGCAGGGCCACAAGAAAATGACAAAATTTTTTCTGCAAATGGTTCAGGTGCTATTTTCAGAACCAGAAGCAGATCTTTTCATTCACAGAAAAAAAGGCACCCACCAAGCAAGTTTGTGCAAAAGCTTCTAGGTCAGTGTCAGGAACCCAGGAGGAACTGTACACTGAAAAGGAATCCATTATCTCGGCTGGATGGATGGTCATCTGCTGCAGAAATGGGCAGCGCCAGATTATTTCATTCCCACATGACTTGCACGGACTGTTGTTTTCACCAAAAAGTCATGAAAAAGCCAAACGCTGCAGAACGGTAAAAAGTGGGAAACTCTCCTTGGCAGGGACACCATAGCTGGCTTTCCCAGGCACAGTGATTCTCCAGCTATGCCCTGGAGCCAAGCTTTGAACACCTGCCTATTCCCCACCTCATCCCTCATGCAACGCCATGTCTGTCTGCTTTCTACATTGGACTTTCCTGTGAGCTCTTCTTTGAAGAAATGGTTTCTCTACCACAATGTCATGTGAAGCAGGGCTTTTCCTGTTATCTCAGGATTTATACTGAGACCCAGAGCTGAGAACTGAGCATTTATTTATGCAGAAATTGCTAAACTAAGGTCAGACTGGCTCAGAAAGCACCTGCTGCTTCCAGCCCATGTAAGAGAATTCACTGGAGAAAAGGCGTTTCTCAGAAAAACAAAAACAAAAACAAATAAACAACAACAACAAAAAACAGTATTGGGGAGCATGGTGGCAAAAAAGAAAAAAAAAGAGGGAAAAAAAGCTGCAAGGAAACAGCTCAGAGAGATCAGAGTGGTTGGCAGAAGAGGGACGCAGCATCTTGGCCCCCCAGCTGCGCGCTTGCTGAATTGCAAACTTCATAGGTCTGCCTTGCGCTGTTCGGGAAAAGAGCGTGAGAGATTTATGAGAACTCCAGTCTGCTCTATTAATTGCATCGTTCCAGAGTCCATGCAGATGGTGCCCCCTGGAAGTGTGCAATGAACACAGCCCTGGGAAAATCAGACACAGGTTCCCACAGTTTGGTGTATAATGGCTGGTTGAACACAGAGGACAGCAGTGGCGTGGCCTACTCCTCCCAAGCTTGGCAGCACCGAGACGCATAATGATTTCTCACCGGCCAAATGGAGACAGAGGTGGGGCGAAGCGATAGCTAGCTTAGAGCCTTCATGAAAAGGCCTTCCCCCAAGAAGTCAGTCTATTGAGCAAAAAAGGCCCAGAGTGTGCTCAAGCAGAGCCTGAGGGGGCTTCAGAAGGGACCAGCCAGGGAGGGCACCACTCGTGCAGTGGGAAAGTGTAGAGATCTTTGCGGGGCGGGGGGGGGGGGGGGGGGTAGTGTCAAGAACTTACAAAATCTCCTGAATGCCTGTAAGGCTAGAGAGGACCATGAAGGACGGCAGCTCAAGTGGAACATTCTGGCCTTCTCTTCATCCCTCTCCCTGCCACCTGACTCTGGAGGAGCCAGAAGTTGCAAAGCAAGCAGGGAAGGAGTTTGGATCCGGAGAGAAAGAGAACAAACAAGCCCCGCCCCCGGACTTTCCACTTCTGGACTGTGGTGTCTCAGGCCCAGCCTGACCTACAGGGAAAGGAGAACTTTGAAGTAGACCAGAGGTTGGTATGTGGGTTTATGTTAAACTGTACTTTAGAATACTTGAAATTAATTATTTCTATTTTTGTTTTTATTTTACTTGAAAAATGCCTGGAAAAGCTGTAGGGTATTTCTGGGATATGATCCAGGGTTGGCCTACCAGAACAATGTGAAAGTCTCATTTGTGACTCACATTGAAGAGAAATAAAGCCATATTCTGTTTGCATTCCCCCCCCCAAAAAAAAGTCCAGCCCACTTAAAAAACCAATTACACGACATTACTCCCCACCCCCCAAAAAAAGGAAAGAAAGAATGAAAAAAATGCTTCCAACATCCCCATGTCCACTGTCCAAACCACCCCAATTCCTTGGTGCTTCAGGAACCTCCCAAATAGTATCCTGCTTCCATTCTCATCCCTCCCCTCTCCCTGCCCCACGCACTCTCTCACCCCCAGCCCTCTTGGGGCAACAGCTCTGTACAGAGACGCCCATCGGACCGAATCTCTGCCCTGGAGCTGGGCTTCACTAGCCTTCCTTCCCTCCGAGGTTCCAGGAGTGAAGCACATGATTCGAGCTAAGCCAGTACCCTCATTGGCTCCCCAACTCCCACTCTGATTGGCTAAAGGATGAGTAGCCGACCTTAGACCAGCCAATGAGGACCAAGAGAATTTAACTGCAAGACTCTCGTCGGAGCCCTGGAGAATGCAGCTTTTCTCTGTCCTGAAGGATGTGAGTCTGGACCGATAAAGCCCTGGGGCCACTGGCAGCCATCCTAGAATCACCGGGCAGGAGAGCAACGCCGAATAGGCGAACGAAGAAATACCCAATCCTGGAAGCATCATCTGCCTGGACTGCCGAGTTGGGAGAATCAAAACTCCCCTTTCCGGCTGGAGCCCAGCTGAGCCAGGTTTTCTGTCATCTGCCGCAGAAACCGTCCCAACCAGCACATCAGCTGACCCAGCCACTGTGTTTATGCCCATTAGGCTCATGTCTCACTCAGTCCAGACTTACAAATGGCCTCACGGGGCTACATGGCAGAGGCCCGAAGAGGTTCCGCTTGGTCTTCAGAACACAAATTCCGGCAGCGTCATTGCCGTTTGGTTCAATTCCTGACCTGAACACGTACGAGCTTCCTCTTTCTCCGCCTAAATTTAACATACAACTTTAAGGAAACTGCAACTTCAAGGAAACCTTCCCCTGTTGGTGTCTTAACAATGTTCTACCTTTAGAAAACATTGAATTCAAGTACAATCCCCATTGATACCCTGAAGTAGGCCATACATTTCTCACTCTGCTTTCATTAATACTCTGACTCGGAATACTCTAATTCTCTTCAATGTATTTCTCATCTTCTTCATCGTCTGTTTGTTCTTATATTTAAAAATCCAAGAAGACAGGGAACAAGCCTCTTAGCAGGACACCTCACACAAGGCAAAGAGTAGCTAGGAGCTTAATAAATGCTTACTGTTGACAAAGACATGATGACAAGGGTGAGAGAGGTTGTGTGACATGCATCATTAGAAAGATAACTGTTCTCACCATTTAGAGGACATACTTCCTCCAAATGAATAAAAATCTACTTAGTTCATTTAACCTATGAGAAAAATCAGAAAGGTTTATGTGATCAACTTAGAACACTTCCTAGTTCCCACATCTGAATAGCTACCTTTGGTGTTTGAAAGCTTGGACCCTTAGAATATGTAAAATTCTTCTGGTCTTTTTGATAGCTCTAAGCAAACTTACATAGTGATTCTAAGTAATGAAGCAAACATTTTACATTTCCTTGAGATACATACGGGGTCAAAATCTAAAAGGAATCCATTGAAAGCAGAACATTCCCCACAGATATTAGTCACATAATTAAAATTATTCATCAGCTCCCAGCTATAGACTGTGAGCTCACCCCTACAGCAAGCGGCTCTTGGGATCATGGGCTTTATTAAAATACCCATTACTGATTTCTGGAATCTCAGCTATAACAGCACTTCTGTTCTGCGGGAGGTCTGATTAGAGTAAAGTAAGAAATTCTTGAACCTCAGCACTTAAGCCATCCGGCTGTCAGGTGCTTCCCTGGGTCTGGAAGGCATCTTCCTCCTCCCAATTTTGTGCAGTCCATGTACCTGGGCTACAGCACACCGGGACGTGACTTAAAATGTTGGTGGAATTCTGCTTACTGGCCCTAATTTGGGATTCTGATGCTACTACATGTAATTGTCCGTGTACTGCTCTGACTCTGGTTGGCTTCTGGGACCTCTGATGATTGGACACAAAGTCCCTGCCCATTGTGAGAATGTGGGATGTCCTGCAGGATGTTGAAAATGGAGTAGATTTTGATGATCCATGGACCCAAGCTGAATCCTGCTTCTGTCACTTAACTAATTGTATGATGCCAGGCAAGTTATTTACCTTCTCTGAGCCCCAGGTTCACACATAAAACAAAGGTGATAATGATGCTCCATGAATACCTATCTTGCAGGGTTGCTTTTTCTTTTTTTTTAAGTGACTTACTTGACTCAAAACCACTATAAGGTATCACCTCACACTGTTAGAATGTCTGTTACCAAAAAGACAGCAGATTACAAATTCTATTGAGGCTGTGGAGAGAAGGGAACCCTTGTGCACAGCTGGTGGGAGTGTAAATTGGTGCAGCCACCTTGGAAAACAGTCTGGATATTCCTCAAGAAAGTAAAAATGGAACTACTATATGACCCAGCAATCCCACCCACCTCTGGGTGTATCTCCAAAGGAAATGAAATCACTATCTTGAACAGATATCTGTACTCTCATGTTCACTGCAGCATTATTCACAATAGCCATGGTATGGAAACCATCCATGTGCCCATCAATGGATAAATGTGGTTTATAGATATATAAGTATATAGATACACATACAACGTGATACAATTCAGCCTTTAAAAAGAAGCATATTCTGCCATTTGCAACAACGTGGATGTAACTGGAAAGGATTATGCTAAGTGAAATAAGCTAGACAGAGTAAGAGAAATAGTGCATGGTATCACTTATCTGTGCAATCTTTTTTTTAAAATGTCAGACTCAAAACAGAATGGTAGTTGTTGGAGGAAACGTTGGAGGAGATAGGCAGACACTAGCAAAAGGCTATAAGATAAATTAGGTCTGAGGATCTAATGGAAAACATGGTGACTGCAGTCGATCGTATTATATTGCACAGTTGAAATTTACTAAGAAAGTAGAACTTAAGTGTTCTTACAAAAAAAAATACATGTGAGATGATGGATGTTGCAATTAAGTCAGGAGTGGAAATCTTTTCACAATGAATACGAATGTCAAATCACCAGGTTGTACACTTTAAATATATTTACGACTTAAATATATTCCTATTTTATTTGTCAGTTATGATTAACAAAGTTCAATAAAGCTGGCAAATGGTGTTTTTGAAGTGGGCAGTAGTAAGGCACTCAATAAATGGATGGCCCCTTCATTGTAACTTCGTTGCTCACTTTATCACCAGGTCCTCACTCTGACGCTACTCTCCCGTCTCCCATGCTACAGCCCTGCTGCCATTCATTTCTCATTCCTCCTACTCGGCTCTGCTGTCTGGCAGAGTCACACTGCCTGAATTTATGTGCAGACCAGAGAGGGAGGGAAGATGCAGAGACGCGAGGCTTTAGAGAATTTCTGTCCTCCCTACTGTTACTGCCTATAAAGCCTGAACGCGTTGGCTCTCAGTCTGCCTTCTGACTAACTTTTCTCCTACTCTGGACATCTGGGCATCCAAGATCTGGCATCCTTGGACCAACCTCTGTGCCTAAAACTAGAGGCTTAACATTGGTACTGAACCCAATATGGGGCCATACTATGGGCCAAAGCATGGTACCAGTAATAGTATTGTGCACATATTTCTTATAAAATACAATCTATCGTCAGTTACAAAATGCATCACTATTTTACGTACTCTCACAAAATTAATATTGCCAACTGAACAGCTACGTATCATTGGTAGTAAGACACATTCTGATCAGACATGTAATGAGAATAATACATCTTACAATTAATGTAGTACAATACAACATTTCCCTTGCAGAAACAGCTAAAAGTACATGTTTCTTATCCTTATTTACAAGAGTCCTGCACAGAGCCTGTCAGACAGGAAAGAAATATTTGTTAAAGAAAGTAATATACACATGAATGGATGTATTCCCTTGTGGCCACATTATAACAACGTTCTGCCATTTAAAAAGAAAATTTGATACAAGAGGAAAATCATGCTAAAATTTAAATATATCATTTCACCAAACCTTCCACTTAAATTCATTTAAAAGAATAAACTCCACTCTGAACATTTTGTACATGTGTTGCCTCCTTAGCAAAATGGAAACCCAGATACAGTAATAGATTCCAAAAGTTTAGTGTCTACCTGATAGCCAGTCTTCAGGTAGACATTACCTTTAAGTGTGTAGTATCTGGGACCAGAAAATGCAAGGTGTCGCTTCAGAAACATCTGGAAGCATCCTCAGGGCACACTTTGGGATTCTATTGGCTAAGGCACTGCCTTGGCGTCTTTGATAACTGGGAACATGGATGCACCTAACAGAGCCTTCTCCCTTCTACTGTACCTCTAAATTGGCTATAGATGTGCTGGAACTCAACAATCCCTATGTGGTGATAGGGATGCAGACGAGTGAGTCACAGTCTCCAAAGAAGTTCCCATTAGAAGAATTCGCCTCCACTTCCTGCCCAGAGCGGCTCCAAAGAGCTGCTTGGCCCTCTTCATTGCAATTAAAAATCAGTGCATTTCACCTCAGATACTACAGAGTTAGGCATTATATAAAACAGATAGATAAAAGA